GGAGTAGTGTTCCCCTTTTGACCTTTCAGTTCCCTGACATCCACTTAACTAACTCCACATATGTAAATTTCACTGTGAGAATAGCTAGCATGGTCTATTTCTAACAAAGACCTCTGACTGAAAACTATCTCATTCCAAATTTAAAATCTAAAACCGTAACATACTTTATAAGATCCCATGCAATCTGGACATTGGCTATTTCTCTGTCGTTGTTTCTTGTCTCTGTCCAAATACTGCCTCAGAAAACACTTTTCCTGATGATGTACGTAAAATTATTTCTCCCAACTCCTGCAATCTGTCCTCATGCTCCCTTTTCTCTGCAGCATTCCTTGCCATCAGATGTACTCTATATCTATTTGTTATCTATCTTCCCCATTAGAACATGAGTTCCATGTGAAAAGTTTTATTCACTGCTGAGTCCCCAGGGTCCAGAGCAGGCTCTGGCACACAGTAGGTACTGACTTGAAAGACTAACTAACTGTAGAAAAACCCCTAGGAGCAGCCCTACCATTGTTTCCATTTACCTGAACTATAACCAACCTTTAATTTTTAAAGGATGTGTATTTATTAGCTCACTTTACTGGCCACCCTTCCTCTGTGGAGTCATACTCTAGTCACACTCTGCTTTCTTCTGTTTAACAATTTACTTTTTGAGACAGGGTCCTGTTCTGTCTCCCAGGATGAACTACAGTGTTGCAATCATACCTCACTGCAGTCCTGATCTCCTGGGCTCAAGTGATCCTCCCATCTCAGCCTCCCAAGTAGTTGGGACTACAGATGTCCACCTTGCCCAGTTAATTTTTCTTATTTTTTTTTTTTTTTAGAGATGGAGTCTCACTATGTTGCCAAGGTTAGTCTACAACTTTGGGGCTCGGGTTATCCTCCTCTTGGACTCTGCAGTTGCTGGGATTGCACGGGTGGGGTAAGCCATATGCCTGGCCCAATTTAAAATTTTTATAATGCAAATATTTGCTCCATTTTAAACCTTTAAAAATTATCAACTCAATCAAGATCAGCCAGTCAGTAGCATTTATTGAGAGGCTGGTTGCTGTGCTATGAATCTAAACTAGACCATGTTGAGGTGTCCAAAGAAGGAAATGCAGTTCCTGCCCTTGCAGAGCTTATAATCTCATGAATATTCAACTTGTGCATATGAAAATGTCTCAGATATTTACCAATAATGCCCAGAAAAAAATAAAGAAAATATGGTGTCTATGTGGTTGTTAGTTAGATGAGGTGCAATGGTTGAAGGGCCGTTCAAACTAGAATAATTCTTAGAAGAGATTGCTGTTAAGCCAGAATTTAAAGAAAGAGACAAAGATGGGTATGTATAAAGTAAGAAAGAAAGGACACTTGCAAAAACAAAAAGAAACGACAAATATATGGAAGTAACTTAATTAGTTACCTGGAGTCTATAAACTAAAAATCTGTGAATTTGGCCTCTAACCTTCCTGTTCTGAATTTTCTGTTCCGTACTTCTCAAATGTATCAAATTATATTCTGAACTCAAATGCTCCTATACTTTAAATGGCTGTTGGAATCACTTCAGACTCCTTCCAAGCCATCCTAGGTTTCTGTTGAGATGTCATTTTCCCAGAGCAGCTTTTCCCAGGCACTTAATCTGAAATAGATGTGCTGTGCTTTGTTATCTATACTTTAGCATTTCCTTCACAGCCCTTACCGTAATTTATAACTGTAACTTTGTGACCTTATCATTGGTCTTCCATACTAGATTATTAACTATCTAGAAGCTGTATGTTTGTATTATTTTTCAGTACTATACATATATTGCTGAGCATGGTATCTGACCCTTAATATATATTTGTTGAAATGGAATTAAATAGTACATTTTTCTGTGAAGGCCAAAACTCTATATATAAAACTGATTCCAAAACCCAAAATAATTTTATTTTAAAAACTTACCAAAGTTAAATCGTCATCACTTCTGATACATAAAAAATGTATATTCATATAACTCTTGATATATACATATGCATACATACATAATTCACATACATGGTAACAGTTTGAGCTTTAAGTCTGAAATTAATTTCAATTTGTATCACATTTTTTAATAATAAACTGAGTATGTTTATGAGAATCATTAATTCTTCTAAATTAGGGAATATAACCCTGGATAGGACCAGGGTATGAGGGTGGGATGGTCTGAACTGGTGCTAGCTCATAGAAGTTGCCTTGGTGCACATTTCAAAAAGCACCCACATCCTCTGGGTAGACACAGACACACAGCAACATAAGCTCTGCTTGGTGAATGGAGCCTGGGCAGGGCTTCAGCTCCCACTTTAGGTGCTCTTGCACATGGGGGGCAGTCCTGGGGGGGAGTTGCTCAGTGGTGGTATGAGTAGAAGATGTGAACTAGCCACCCTTGTGCTGTTCCATTTTTTGCTAAAACAGGCCGATTTGATTTGTCTGGATTATTTTGGTCAGGAAGGATTCCCTTCTTCTCTTCACCACTCTGTCGGTTTAGCTGAAGAGGGAGAGCTCTCCAATGAAAGAAGACCATCTTTCACGTTCGAGTGTATGCATGGCATGCTCCCCCATTTCAGCCTCCAAGGGGGCTTTCTAGGTTTAATCTGAAGAAATAACCCAGTGTTGATTCTTGATTCCTAATTATGCTGTCAGTCTGGTTGTAGGCAAGGGTTGCAATTTTCCCTCTGGAAAAAAGAATCAGAAGTTAGTCCATTTGTATAATACTGCTTAGTAACTGTTTAGAAATTATGGCAGTAACACTAAGAATAAGCTCAAGTTATCTCTTAAGTGACCCAATTTATTGACTTTCAGACAAACAGTAGATGAAATCGATTCTAGTTTCCATATGTCAAGAAATAACAAACATGTCTCATTTCAGTAAACTTTTATAAACTTTCTATATCTTAGGGTTATGGGTTATAACAGATTCATAGTATTTTAAGACAAAAATTAATTTACCTTTAATTGTCTTTTGACTTGAATTATAAGCCATAAGAAAGGCCTGTTTCAAAACTACTAACATGAATTTATCAGAGTAGGAGAGCAAACCACTGAAATGTAATTTTAGAAGGATTTTTATTTTGGAGAAAGAATATAAAACTGGCATTTGGGAATAAAGTATTGGATAGTGGAAAGCGCCCTATATTGGGTCCTGATTCCTCATTCTCAAACTACCTAATGAGATGAAATTGTGCAAGTCATTTAAATTTGATGGGATTCATCTGGAGATCTATTAATGAGTTTAAAGTCTTAAAGTCTTTATAGTTCTCTGGTTAATTTTATATGAAAAGTCCTCAAAGCAGAAAGAATATCACAATAAATAGCCTGTGGGATCCAAAGTGGCACTTACAACCACATGTATGAAGAAGTCATGTGTGTACAACAGCCCCTGGGGAAAATGTTACATATGTCATCAGGGCCCAAACATCCTAGCAGATTGTTTTCACTTATTCTGATGTGTCATCTCTTTTGGGAAAAACCTAACTTCACTAATATCCAGGCTCAGGAAGTGAAAAAGAAGGCTCACCTAGCCACTGGGACCACTTTAAAGAAGTAATTAATTTAATCAACTGCCCACCTCACCCAACACCAACTTTCGCAATCGCTTGGCAAAATCTATGTCCAACAAGTGAAGCAAATCCAAATATGGTGAATATTCCTCCACTGCCAAAATGGGAAAACTGCCTTATCTGCTCATCAAAGCCCATCTTCTTGGAAATCGGCTTCTCTGTTAAATACCCAAATGGGCTAAATGCACATTTTGTGTGCAACCCTGTAGAAGCTCCTCCTGATGCTAACTTTCGGGGATCCGGTAAACGTCAAGTCACTGCTCCTGATAACATAGACATCTTTTTAGAAACACTTTATTTACACAGACTTTGTCTAGCTGGGTGAAAGGTTAATTTATTTGCACACCGGGGGATAAGCAGGGCACAGCGCTTCTGGACGCCCTCAACAACTAATTTTAATTCTTTCTGCAGCTCTCACTCCTCTTTCTACCTACACCCAGGGAAATCTCCCCCCAGGGGCGGTGTGTGTGTGTGTGTGTGTGTGAGTGTGTGTGTGTGTGTGTTGTACCTGTGCTCCTAGATGGCACCAGCAGGGCCCAGCTTATTCCCGGACACTTGTGGGATCCTCACAGGGGCAGGTCGGGGACTAATCCGCCCAAACCTAGGCAAGCACTCTGGGAGGCAGACTCGGGCTCGGCCTGCAGCCCGACACACCGCCCACTCAGCGCACACGCGTCCGTGCCACTTCAGTGGTTTGCAGGACTTCCGGCGAGGACGAGTCTCCAAACCATCTCAGCGTATCAACGGAATCTGGGATGTCCCCTGCCTTTAAGTTAGACCCCAAGAAAGAACTTTGAGGACTTGAGCTTCACATCGAAAGTCAGTGTGGAAAAAGGGGGTGTCCGTGCGGCTGGGAAAGACAAAGGGGCCCAAAACCTCCCTCCCGTCGGCTCCAACCCACTTAGTTCACCCTTCCACTGGGCGAGGGACTGGCCGGGGGTCCGGGTGGGAATGGCCCTGGAAGGGGTCCCTCCCTTCCCACCTCCCACGGCCCACTCTTACTCACTTTCTCTCGGAGCCTCAGCTTGGCCGCCTTTAGCCCGGGCAGTGCAGAGAGGAAGCGGGGAGGAGAGAGGAGCCTGCTGGCTGCAGCAGCCGGGCAGTCCCGGAATCTCCGGACTGCGCCCCTGCCCCAGGCCCGCAGGGACCCGGAGCCGTGGACGCCCCCACCCGGGCGCCGCGGCGAGGCGGGAGCACTGGGTTCTGCGCCTTCGAGGCTGGCTCCGAAGACTCGCTGCCCTCCCCCTCCGTCCGCCGCCTTCGCGGCCCGCCGCCCCTCCCCGCCGCAGCCGGGAGGCCGGCGGGGCCCTGGGGACGCGCTCGCGCGGGGGACGCCCCCTCCCCTTCCCCCCACCCTGGGCGGGGGCGCGCGAGGAGCGGTGACGTCAAGGGGCGCGCTGTGGCAGCACCTCCCCGCGCGCTAGTTAAAAAGAAGAAGAAAAGAGGGAGCGAAACATGAGAGGCTGTGTGAGAAGCTGCAGCCGCCGGCAGAGGAGACCTCAGCATCATCTAGAGCCCAGCACTGCCCCGCCGCCGCCGTCGCCGCCGTTTCTGTTCCTGCTACTGTCCCACCTAAACAACTCCCGTTACACGGACAAGTGAACATCTGTGGCTGTCCTCTCCTTTTCTTCCTCCTCTTCCAACTCCTTCTCCTTCTCCCACTTCCCAGCCGCAGCAGAAAGCCCCCAACCCAACTGACACTGGCACAACTGCAAACGGTGTCATCTGCACAACTTTATCTGGCTCCTCTGGCTCCCCTAAGGCGTTGGACCCATCGCCGCGTCTTTTATATTTTGCAAAGTTGCATCGCTGTACATATTTTTGTCCCCGCCACCTCCCTCTGCCTCTCGAGTGCCCTGCAGCCCCGCAGCCTCCTCCTGGAGCTGCGCCCTAGTGCCCCTGCTGGGCAGTGGCGTTTCCCCCCCATCCTCCCGCGCCCAGCCCCTGCTGCTCTGGGCAGACGATGCTGAAGATGCTCTCCTTTAAGCTGCTGCTGCTGGCTGTGGCTCTGGGCTTCTTTGAAGGAGATGCTAAGTTTGGGGAAAGAAACGAAGGGAGCGGAGCAAGGAGGAGAAGGTGCCTGAATGGGAACCCCCCGAAGCGCCTGAAAAGGAGAGACAGGAGGATGATGTCCCAGCTGGAGCTGCTGAGTGGGGGAGAGATGCTGTGCGGGGGCTTCTACCCTCGGCTGTCCTGCTGCCTGCGGAGTGACAGCCCGGGGCTGGGGCGCCTGGAGAACAAGGTAGGCACTCACTGGCCTCACGGATGCGTACTTGGCATATTGGCTGGGTGGGGTTCCCTGTGACTCTGGCAAAGCCGGTGGCTGTAAGAAGGGCAAAACTTTGGGGGAGTTCTTTTCCTAACTTTTCTAAAGCGCTAACGTGATACCGTTGTGTGTTCCTCTGTGGTAAAGCAAACAGCATTCCCGCCCCCAGAGTCCACGGTGGGGATGCTGTGCAAACTTGCCTATCTCAGAAAACAGAGGCTTCTGCGGTACCCGCACCCTGGGCTGGGTAAATATTTTAAAAGAATCGCGATTAACAGTGTGTTTTGGATCGAATGGGGGCATTGGCTGCGGTGAAACTGTAAATTAAGGTCTCTGTGGTTTCCGGTTTATTTTTCTAGGGTAAAAAGATTTGTGCCGTTTTCTCCACGTGCTCGGTTAGGGAGAGGACTGAGTCTTAAAGGATGTTGAAGCATGGTTGGTTTATGATCCCCAGCCCCGTCAGAGGGGGGTGTCTTGCATTACATTAGTTAAACCAAGGGAAAGGAACTCCTGGTCCTCCGGTTAGGGACCCGAAAAAAAATTGGTGAAAGATTTTGCTGGAACGTTATTTGTCACATAAAACGGAGACAATTCTCCGTCATTTTGTAAATTATAAATTCAGGCTTTCAGGGTCAGTTAGGTGTGTTGGAAGAGCTTCTCCAAGAATCTGTTTTAAGAGTAATGGCATTTACGTTTTCCTTGTGTGTTAGTAAGTTTAACTAAATACCAACATAGTGTTTGTTGACTGTAAAGACACGCTTATTTTTGAGTTTGCAATATCCTTCTTGCCAGGAGGTGCAGTCATGTGTGGTATCTACTGTACTCCAAGGAATGATTGCTGGGTCACATCATTAACAATCACTGCACGTGAAATAAACAATCAGGTGTCTTTGCTCCCCCTCCCTTTCCCCATTTTAGGTTTAATTAAGAATTCCTCTGTTAGAACACTGCCAGTTGTCAAGGTCTGAGAGGCTCTTGGAAAACTTGTGCTTTAGTCTTGCTGGCCCAGGCATAATAATAAAAAAAAATACCCAGGCTGAATCTAATTTTTATGCTCAGTTCACGGTAGATTTCACTCTATTCTCATGTAAACAGCTCCTACGAATCAACATATGTGTCTGGGTGGTATCTCTCACTTTGTTTTGTAACAAAAAGCCATATTGCATCATTTAATTTGCTCAAGTCATGCAAATAGGAAAAAATCAATAGGACAAAAAGGGGTCGACTTATCCTCCTCCCCACTAAACTGCTGCCCACACACAGAGTCCTGTTGCTTATGGCAAAAGAATAACAACAACACCATTGTATTTGTTAGTTGGTTCACTAATGGGTGAAACTAGAGAACATCATTCTCTTTCAGTCCCCAGCTCTGTCCAAATGTTCATGCCTTTTGAGGGAGCATTTGTCCAACTCCTTCTATTCCCAGATGAGTGAGAACTGTCTTGCTGCAGGTTTTCAGCTGCAACTCTCTTTTTATTCTTACCATATGCAGCAGGAGCCTGAGATTCAGGGAACAGATATTCCAGGATTTTATTCAAAACAATGTCATTAAGCTCCTGTGTTGCAATTGAATTAGAGTTACAAAATAGCTACATTCAGGTCACCTTAAAGGTTTTATCAAAAGCCCTAAAGAACCAGGAAATTCAGAGAAAAGTTTAGAAATATTTGCCATTAAGTCTTCCTTGGTGCAATACATGCTATGAATAAACTGATGATCTAGAGATCCCTGCAATACTGAGCTCTTCCAGGGACATATGGAATGAAAATTTTGTTTTGACTCAATGGTGGGAAGAAGGGAAAAGGAGATGGCACTGAGGGAAGTTATAGTCCTTAAGAGTAGTTATATAAAAACTTTTTTAAAGAAACCATTCTTTAGGAAGCAATCTGCCATGTTAACTATACATATTCCTTTCTGTTTTATGTGCTTCCAATCTCCAACAAACCCCTACTCATTTGGAAAGTGTGTCTGAGGTAACTTTGGTACACTAGACTTTTGCTGGTTCCATTACAAGTGGCTTATAAACTAACAATAACCAAATTGTTCAAAACAGAGATTTGCTATATCTATGCATATGCATTCTTGACCTATGTTAGTTCTCAAGTTTTAATAGTTTTTAAAACATGTTATTTTATAATAAACTTCAGTGTTTCCCTTTTTCCCGTAAGCCTTCCTGGATTATAATATATGTTAGGATCTTATTTCATAATGTGTATACAGGAGGGATGATTGCTATTTGAAAGGGCCCTTTATTGTTTATGAAAAAAAAAAATCCCCAGAAAGATTTCTGCAGCATTTCAAGAAACTACAGTAGTAGCTTTTTTCTACAGGAAGAATTTCTTAGACAAATAGATAGTAGAAATATTAGCATGCTTAGCTATGCAATTAAGTCCTGTTTCTCAGCTAAGAAATTTTCTTTAATGAACTAGAATTGACTTCAATTCATTAGCCATGGAATTGTGTGCTTATTTTAATTTTTAAAATATTTTAATAATGTTGTATATTGTGATGAGATTGTTTACTATGGCAAATAGTCACTGTCAAAATTTAGGAAGTCATATTATCTTAGCAATATTATCGCACTTTCTAAATACAGCATGTTAAAAGGATCTAATTCTCATTAAGCAAATTGAATCTGTAACCAAATGATAAAACCCCCATTTCTAAAACTTAACTTGTAGCCACAGAAGCATAGAGCTCTCTACCTTGGGTGGTTTCACAGCCAAAGCTGTCAAGGAATGGGTGAAAAGTAATTGTTTTCAAGTGTGCCCTTTTACAATCATTTGTTTGCTCTGGCTCTTTCAGGGACAAAGGCTATTGTTGAACACATCCAACTAAACAAATAACTCATCCTGGGGTCCCTTTAACAGCTGCCTTAGTATACAATGATCTATTTACATATTAGCCTAAAATTGAAACTGAACTCTTTAATGACATAATCCAGCGCTATAGTTGAGAGACACATGTGTTCTACCCAACAGCTGAACAACCTTGTAGGCATATGATTTTTAGAAATAACTTTTTGTAAACCAAGTGATCTTAAGGTGACATCTTAATATACTGTTATGTATTTTCTCCTTTTGTCCCCTCATCGAACCCATGTGGGTGCCTTTTGCCCTCTTTGTTTAGTTACTTGGTAAATAAAGAGAAATACAGAAGGTCTCTGTCACCCATTTTACTATTTGTTGATAAGCTATAGTTGGAGGCCACACTTTACTGTGTATCTCCTATTTATCTTACCCTTCTTCTATGGATTTTACTTTCGTGTGGCTAAAGATTAAAGGATGACCTGCCAGATGCTATAAATTAGCAACAGCCACAATGATTACTAGGCATGCTGTAATAATGTTTCAACGTTTTACATGATTTCTGAAGTATATTTAGTTTAAACCACTATAATTTGATGGTTTCGTATATGGCTTTTAAAAATCGAAACAGGATATTAGCTTAAATTTCTTCTTAGGATTAATAGCATCGTCAGAAATAAAGTTAAGGACCTATAGAAGACACAGACACTTAGGCAAAAAAGTAGAAATCACCCTGCACACACCCAGACTCATCTGTCTAAAACACTGTTGCAGCTTTGGCTGAGTCAGTTTAATTGACTTCAGTAAGACTATTGGTTCATTGAAACCAAAGCCAGAATGATGGCTCTATCTATCTTCAAATAGGTATTTACACTTCAGACCTCACACAGAGCAAAATGTTACCATCCTGCTGGGCCGGAACAGCATGACACTTTAAAAAGAATAATATTATACTTGATTTCAGATAATTTATTGAATCCTACTTCTGAAACTTTTGATGAGAGATCTGTGACCAGAGCACATTCCAAAAATTGTAAAAGACAAAATTACTTAGGCTCTAAAATCAAGCTCTTCCTGGATAGCAGCCGGGAGAGTATATGAGGATCATTTTGTTTCAGCTATAAAAAATGGAAGCATGCGTAATCTCCATAAAACAAAAGGTAATTACACTCCAGGTTTTCAGCCAGCAAAAAAGATGGCTTCAGCATCCTGCAATTGTTTTGTTCTTAGTGGACTGCTGTATGATAAACAAACAGAACAGAATTGAACACTATTAATATTGAATAGATCTGGTGAGGTTTGCCAGAGTATGGACAATAAAAGACATTTAAAACGTTCTTGGAATGCAAATTCCAAGGGTGTAGTGTATGTTTCCTTTTAGAAGATTTTATCCATTTAAGCAATTGTTATTTAAATAAATTTATAAGACTGTAAATATAATTGTGGTTAATAATAACTTTTCTGAATAGTGTAGCTACAATGCATCATATATTTTTTTAACTTTTATTGGACTTGGTGCATACTAAAATTTCAGCATGCTTATATTTGATGATTTTTTTTAGTTACTTTGCTCTTGCAGATTTAAATTTTTGTGATTACCTAGAATATCATTATCCTAAATTCTAAAAAATAGAAGCCATAGATTTACTCAAATTAGAACCTTCGTTAATGAATGAAATATTTGTTTAAAACAATGCTCTAGAATTTAAAATGTTAATTTTGGTTCACAGTTCTGAAGAAGTAATACAGTGTGAATGTAGTTAGATGAATTGGGAAAAGGTATAAAATTCAATTCCATTATGGTGTTTTTAAAATACAAAATTAATACTTGATTTAGACAGCGCTACATTTCACATGTCAAATATTGTGTTGTTATTGTCTTCTATATATATTAAAGAAGCTTCTGAAGTCAGATTTTTAAAGTTACTGCTAGACAACAAGACCTGTTCTGTCTACTAATTGCTAAACTCAATGAATCAATAACTCAAATTTGTCTTATTGAAATAAAAGACATACCATTGTAAAAAAAACTGTGATGAAGGTATGCCATTTTTCATTAAAATTCACTAGACATTATTCAAAAACACTTTATTAAACTCTTATGTTTGTTCATACATATAACATACCTGAGGACCTAGTTAGAAAAATTTTCCTGGCTAAAATACGATGAATAATAAAAATAGGTCTAACCTGTTCAATTTCGCTTTAGATATTATTTTTATAAAACATGAAAGGCACATATTATCCTACTTTAGAAAACTTTCCCTAATGCAGTATGCGGATTGAAAATTAATTGAAATTTTAAAAAGGTAACCCAAGTACATTTTTGAGATTATCATATTAAGAATTTCAGAAATGAAATCGATCTTCACATAAGACACAAATAAGCCATGTCTTGAAAAATTCTGTTTTGCACACAGTTGGACAAAGGTTAGAACTTGAAAGTTAAAATATCATTCAGTATACACTTTGAGGAAGAATGAAGTTATAAAACCTTAAAGAGTCTAAATATAGTAGCCTTTTAACTTTTTACACCTGAAGCACAGATGAAATGTCTTTGATTTGCAAGAATAAGAAGCACTTTTATGTATCCCTGCCCTTTGTTCTCCCAGCTCCGTTCCAGAGACTGTACTTGTATCCTTATAAAGGCATTCTGTATTGTGACACAGTAATTCTTTTCAGAAAACTTCACTGGCTAGATTAGACTGTTCTACTTACACAGTTGCAAAAAATAATAATAATAACTAAACCTAAACTTCACCTAACTAAAACAATATTGTTTCTGATTTATGGCTTTCAGATATTTTCTGTTACCAACAACACAGAATGTGGGAAGTTACTGGAGGAAATCAAATGTGCACTTTGCTCTCCACATTCTCAAAGCCTGTTCCACTCACCTGAGAGGGAAGTCTTGGAAAGAGACCTAGTACTTCCTCTGCTCTGCAAAGACTATTGCAAAGAATTCTTTTACACTTGCCGAGGCCATATTCCAGGTAAGAAAAAAAAAGTGCACAAGTGAAATAAAACACCACACAATCTCCTTGTAAGATACGTGTTCTTAAATGCTTATTTACAAGACTTGTAAAATTCTTCTTGCCCTTAAAAATACCTATTTTACCTCCTAATTAACATTTCCAAATTTATAACCTTTATTGCCTCTAAAGGGGGTATTATAATTTCAGTCTGCAAATAGTATAATTGGTTTTGTTGACTTGTTATATATTTCTTGTTACACTGATAATACAGGTGGTAATCTTTACACACATTGGTTTCTCAGTCCAAATCTCTTCTTGGTACCTTCTTTACCCATCAGCATCAATATCAAGGCAGCGTCTTCTTCTACACAGCTGATACAAAATTGGAGAATGTCCACTGACTTGTCTAAGATAGACCCTTAAATAAAATATGATTAGGAATCCAAAAAGGTAATACCTTACAAAGCACTTTCAATAAAATGGCTAATTTTTACTCTGTGAGGTAGGTAGGAGCAGTAGAGTCCTCTCTACTTGACAGATGAGGATATCTGAGCCTTGGGAGAAGTCACACACCTTAATCAATGTTGTACAATGAGAAGGTGATAGGAGAGATATGGACATTCTTACGCATATAGTGTCATGAACATGCCTAGTCACTATCGTATTTTGGACTCCAATAAGCATAAATATTCATTAATTAATTTTTATCATCAAAAGTTTATAAACTTTGGTTGCTGTCGCTTTAGTTGGAAGATTCAACATATAGGAAGAAAATGATTTAACGAGACAGATTCTGTTTAGTTAGGCAAAGTAGCACACAAATCTAATGAAGATTAAGCAGTATTTAAGAAAAAGGCAAGCTTTAAGAACTGTAGAATGCACTGAGAGAATTTTTTTAAATGCTATGTACATTTTACTTTTTTCCCTGACCCAGGAAAGTGTGGATTTTTGTATTTTCTAATATAGCTCTCTTAATAACTTTAGAAAACATTTTGACTAGGGTTGCTTGCTCTCTTGCATATAGCATAACATATGTCTAAACCCATTCAATATGAAAATGTTATTATTGTCTTCATAAACCACAGCTGTGTTCCTAGGCCTTTTCTCAAGCAGCTGTTTCTTCCTCTTTATCACATTCCCCAAAGTAAAGTAGAATAGGTCAGGGTTGCCTAGATGGCCTCCAGAGAAGTGATAACAGATTAGATACCATGAATGTTTGCTGGAAGCTTCAAGTCCTACACATTTGCCTGTAGGCCTCTAAATTGAAAGTGATATCCACACTTAGCATTTTTATTTATCATTATCTACTTTAGACAAATACAACATGCTAGATCTGGGGACTTATCTGTGGGGGTCTTTATGTATTTGAAGTAATTTTTAGCTTCCAAAAAACAATAAAATAAAAGCAATACACTGAAAGAGAGAGCACAGCAAACAGCTCAGAGCCAAAACTGCAAGCACCTCGATCTCCAGATCAACATATGTGGTGATGAATGACAAATTTATTTTTCTACAAAGTTTGTATATATGTAAAACTGCTGAAGTGCATCAAGATGTCAAGTGCTTTTGGTGGCCACCCAGGCTGCTTTGAAAGATATCCAGATGAAAGCTCCACTCCAGAGGTGGACAGAGCAGCAAGGGTGCTTTCCAGAGACTCTGGAAGGCGTTACCAACAAGCAGAGCGGGCTGCCCCTGCATGCATCAAATGCTAATGATCATTCTAAATACTTGTCCCAAAATTGAGCGGTAGTAACACACTCTTTGTATTACTTATGCTAATCGATTTGTTACCTGGATTGATGGTTGGCATGTAGGTTACCATTTCCTCAAGTACAATGACTAAGATGCTGATCAGCCCCTACCCCACAAGCCTGTACCTTCAGCACAGAACTGTCTTTACAGTTGTGGAACACAGATTTTTTGGAAATTACTACAAAAGCAAATTTTTAATTGTTTTCCCTTAAGTTGATTTAATGATACCGTTCACTTTCTTCTGAAGTTCAAAGTGTTGGAAAACAACTATTTCATGTTTCTTTTTTAGAAGAAACTAAACATATTTTGACTGTCCTCATTAATAGTTTCATCTTTCTACAAATCAGAAACTTGAAGAGGAGGGTACCCCATGGGATGTATTTTGCTAAAAGAAGGCAAATGCTGAAAGAATTGGGAGAGAGAAAATAATTCCAGAGACATCTTCATTTTTTTCCTTAGTGCCCAATACCTGTAGAAATGTACATAAAAATGACTTAACCATTTGCTTTGGCTTCATGGCTTTAAGAAAGCACAGTCACTTTAACATATTCATATACCTACAAGTTAGCTACTTTCTAGAAAGCTCAATTAGGAAATAGTCATCGTTTGCCTATTTTCCCAAAAATGGGAAAAGATTTTACAAAGCAATGTATTGGGTATACACTAGAGTTTTATTAACCATAGTATTCTCCAGTCATGAATTCACTTAGAGAAGTAAATTCTCAAAACTTCTAAAAATGCCAAAAACTCTCCTCTCGTCTCTACAAGTCTTTTCTTCTGCTTGACTGAGCAGGGTAGCTACTTTGATGGTCATTAAAAGATGGTATAACATACTCTGTGGAAACCATATAGGTGGACATCTATTGGCCTTGCTTCTTCCTTTATACCTATAGTCATAATGATTTTTATTACTCATCAACCTCATCTTCTCAGCAGTTGGTTATTGTAGTATGAAATGTCTGCACACAATTAGTTCAATTGGTTTAATCCTGTTTCTAAGAAGGCCAAGGTCAAGGGTTTGATTCAAACTGAATTTTTCTAGTCCATAGTCATTCCTGACCCTGGTCAGTTCGCTTACACATGTGTCTTCTTAGTCTCAAGGAGAGTAAACCAGAAGGAATAGATGGATATATCAAAATCTACCACTTCTTTTAGAACATGTTCATGAGTAGGCCTTACTCCCAGTGAGTCAGTAGCTCTTTTTTTTTTTTTTCCTTATCATGAGAAATAACTTTTCTCTGGAATACATGCCGAGAGAAAAGGGAGAACTCATAATCCTCCACAGGAAGCATTTATCTTACATGTCAGTATTTCTAGGGTGCTCTGTGGGATAGCAGAACCAGGCTCATGATCCAGGAGAACATTTACAGATCCAAGATAGTTGAGAAGTGACCAGGACTTAAAAAAATACAACTGCTGGAATATTCAGTGTTTGTTGATTATTAGTAGACCTGACTATATTATGATGATCCCAAGTGAGCTAAACATGCACTTTCAATACAATGCCAAACAAGAAGGAACCATTAAAATTACATCTTCCCTGGCAATAAATGTTAAAGTATGTCTCCTTATTCATCGTTGTTCACTGCAGAATCAGGTCATTTAAGGTAAAGCATTAATAAAAGTATTAGATACTTAAATTCAAACAAAATTACATGGTCATAAAAAGAAAATACCCATGTCTTTAAGTAAAAATCTTCTAAGCTGGTTCTTTTACACATAGGCTACTCAGTTTGTCTAAATTATGTAAGAAGCTTGGAGTAAATTTATTGTAACATTCTTTATTTTTTCTTAATTTACCAAAATTTCTTAATTTTCTTAATTGGCTCCATCATACCTCTGGAGCCACCAAGTTTATGAATATGCATTATTTAATCTTTTGATATTCCGTTTGAAAATGAATTCTCATTTCCTCATGTTTGTCCCAGCTACTAATTCCCTATAAAATGGAATCGGCCACCAGCATTGTTAATTAATTTCCCCTTAAAATGGTATTGGTTGGTAGACAGCAATGCTGAAGCACACATTTTTTTTAAAAAAGCGAGCTTGAAATCTCTTTTGAATTGCATTTTGTAATTTTTCTGTGACCCTGCAGGCAAATATCACATTAAAACTAAATTTCTCACTTGCATATTCAGTTATAAATATGACCATAATATGACAGTCTTCCTGCATGCATAATAAATATATGGAGATTTTGTTGCCTAATGGTAAATATGATCTAGCCCAAAACTGTGCAAAGAGTTTGATTTAACAAACCCAATCGAGTTAATTTAGTTTTTCTTTCCCTTTCATCTCTAAGAGACTTGTTGAACCCTATTTGGCCGTTTTCATCTGAAGCCTTATCCATTAAAGAAGGGAGGGGAAAAGTTGTCTTTTGCGAATGGTGAATTGCCAAAGATGAGTAAATGCTTCTATGGCCTTCATTCCTCTTCCCAGTTCCTAATCCTTGAATTTTTGTCAAAGAAAGATAACTTTCCAGTTGCCTACCCCTCCCATGGAGCACTTCCCAGCTGCTTGTCTCTTTTTTTCTGTGCCCCGCACCACACAGACACACACACACACACACACACACACTCCCAAGGACATCTGCTCTTACTTGCCTGGTTGCCAAAGACAAGATCTTTTCCAATAGCCCAGTCAGAAATTGGCCTAGAAGAGTCTCTCTCAAAAAGGTCAGGGTGATACATCTCACTCAAAAGTTAGGTCAAAATGTACTTCAAGCTTTACAACCATTTGGGACCTTCACATTCTCAGATAAGTTTTAGGTTTGAAGGGTTCTAGGTCAAGCACACAGAAAGTAAACTTGTAGTGTCTTTTATGCACCATTGATGAGTCTCACTTGGCTGATTCCAAATTCTTATTCTTAGAAATCCTTGCTAAATCTGAATTTGTTATACAACTTGTAAATTTCCACTCAACTACTCACAAAATTGATGAGGTATGATGATATAATTTGTTACATAAAAATCAAAACTTTAGATATAATATAAAGTATAAGACCAGAAGCAGCAATTTAGGACCATGTATAAGGCTAACTCTGGTAGCACCATCCTATTTTGAGAACAGAAATCATTAGCATGTGGAAGTGGGTCTTTTTAATATGTCCCAGAAAGGTAACACCCTATTAACTCAAATTGTAAAAGTAGTATCAAAACTTTTTTGCCATAAAGTTCTTTTCTTTCATATTCAAAGATAGCTGTCTTTATATGATGAAATATTTAATGTGTAAGAAAAAACATCTTTCTTTTAGCTTCTATTAAGTCTCATGTTTTTGAGAAGATTGAAGGAATATTTTAAATGTAATTTTTCTATTACAAATTAATCATTATCTTCTATAAGTGAAGTGCAGAAAAAAGGCACTTACATATTTGAAAATGGAGGCTCTGTTCTAATGATCAAGCATCAATTCATTGCTTGGTCATTACACAGTGAGTCAATTATTTAACATCGCATATAATGAATTTGTGTTATTCATTAGATTTATTATTTAATCTTATGTGAATGACAAGACACTAAGACTCGTAACATTACCAAAACTGGCACCTGATGGACTATCTCCTTCTTGATTCTAGTTTGTTCATCTGAGGAATTTATTTAGTAACGTAGGACAAAATGCTAAATATTGATGAGATAAGCTTGCAAGTACAACATAGAGTAACTAGAGAACCTTGAAAAGAAATCAATGCAATAACAAGATAAATGCCAAGTTTGTCTTATTCGTACTTCACAGGAGCCTTTAAAAATAACCAATACAATGTTATTTCGTTTTTACTACAATTTTTAAATTTTGTTTAAATTGCAAATGGAAATCCCAACCCCTATTTTTTCTCTTTCTTCTTATTTCTTATTTATTTATTTTTTGAGACAGAGTCTCACTCTGTAGCCCAGGCTGGAGTGCAGTGGTGCCTATCTTGGCTCACTGCAACCTCCACCTCCCGGGTTCAAATGATTCTCTGCCTCAGCCTTCTGAGTAGCTGGGGTTACAGGTGCACACCACCACACCCGGCTGATTTTTGTGTTTTTAGTCAAGACGCGTATTCACCATGTTGACCAGGCTGGTATCGAACTCCTGACCTCAGGTGATCCACCCACCTCAGCCTTACAAAGTACTGGAATTACATACAGGCGTGTCTTTTTATTTCAGTCTAGGCTCTTCCTAAAATATCCATCTAGTTTCTAAAAATTTTTTTCCTCATATCTTTCAAATAAGGTGGTTTTACTATGACACCATGTGTTTCTAATGAGTCTTCTTATATTTTTTAAAGGTTTCCTTCAAACAACTGCAGATGAGTTTTGCTTTTACTATGCAAGAAAAGATGGTGGGCTGTGCTTTCCGGATTTTCCAAGAAAACAAGTCAGAGGACCAGCATCTAACTACTTGGACCAGATGGAAGAATACGACAAAGTGGAAGAGATCAGCAGGTTCATAAAGATAAATGCTCTTTAATCTTAAAAAAAAAAAAACCAACTGACAAATGTTGTGGGTTTGACCGTGAATCAATTTTCTGTGCTTATGTTCAGCAGCTATATCCCCCAGATGCTTTATTTTTTTCTTTGTGGTAGTTTGTTTCTCTAAAATCATAGCTTAAATGCTTTTAATACTTAGATTACTCATCTTATATTATGAGCTTGGCTTCTCTATGACTCATGTGAATTTTTTGGGTATAGTTTTAAGCCTGAATTTTACAATTGTTGTTAGCCTATGGCACTGTGAAAATGTTCAGCGCAATTACTATTAGCAAATCAGATTTTTATAAATAGATCTTACAGCTTTCTCTCTACATATCTTCTGTAAGGTTTATTTATTGTGAGTAAAACTAATTTTAGTTACAGTCACTGAAAGATGAGGAAAATAAGATTATGATATTTGAAAATATATACATGTTTTGATTCTCTTGTTTTACTTTCTGATAGGGGACTATTTTGTTGTTCACCATTGAAAGAATTTAAAAGAACCACTTAAAAGAATTATATTGTGACCCTTGGGTCAGCAGCACTTCATGGTTCTCAAAACCATGATTCCTAGAGGAAATAGAGTTTGAACAGGATGCCAAGTGCATCCCTTATCTCCTTCATCTCAAGAAAGCTCACTGGTTTTCTTTAATTTGTTTAGAAAGCACAAGCACAACTGCTTCTGTATTCAGGAGGTTGTGAGTGGGCTGCGGCAGCCCATTGGTGCCCTGCATAGTGGGGATGGCTCGCACCGTCTCTTCATTCTGGAAAAAGAAGGTTATGTGAAGATACTTACCCCTGAAGGAGAAATTTTCAAGGAGCCTTATTTGGACATTCACAAACTTGTTCAAAGTGGAATAAAGGTTGGCTTTTTAAATTTTATTTATTTTTGTGGTGGCTATGTTAATTTTATTTTAGTGTTACCTTCCTCAGTGAAGGCATTTCTTTGTAATAAAAGAAAGAATCTTGCAGGAGAAAATAAGGGGGCAATATAAGGAAACAATAATTATGGCACCTGAAAAACTAGGAAAGTGACATTAAATTTCTGTTATTTGTTGACTGTGGTGCTGTGCAATCGAATTGATATTTGACATACTTTCCCTATGTAATTGACAAATTTAAAGGAATCTTTAACTTTATAAAGTATTTGCTTAAATATTTTTAATGGTCATAGCACAGGATTGTACATCAACATTTGCTAGTAGAAGCAAAGATGTCTTTTGGTTATTTTGGCAACTGCAAATCATTCTTTCACCATCTCTGTTTCCGAGTCTATCTCATAAAAAATGCTACTTACAGTATGACTTCCTTGTACAATGTTTTTACAGGTAAGTCAAATATTTCTATAACTAGCCATCTATATAACATATATTGCCCTTTTTCACTTCTTTAATTTGAATTATCCTGTTAAATAACCTAGGTATGTAAACAAAATTATTGTCAAGTTTGTTTCACAAGAGTAAACATTAGCAGGACTAAACTATAAAGGAAATGATGACATTCTAAAATTAAGACACATTTAATAGCTCATGCCTGTTTCAGAGTGAAACAAAGTAACAATATGATTTGGAAAGAACTGGCTATCCTTTTCACTTCTTAACTGAGAAAAAAAACTGAAGGAGGATTTATAGTCTCCTGCTCACATGGAATGAACTCTTTCTTGCTTTGTTGTGCTCTACTCAGTGGTAAGAAGACCCAAATCAGAAGAAACAAGTCAGAAAAAATATAGATATATTCCTGCTAACTATTTCATTTTCTTATTGTGTGAGAGTTTAGATGACTTCAGTCTTTACTCTTTACCATTGTAAATAATGTTATTTATTATTCTTGTGCATTTTATTTAATCTTATCATGGATGACTTCCTTAACATGCATTCACAGGAGGTGCATTACTCAGGTGAAGATTATAACCATAATACTTACTGCCAATTTGCTTTAAAAATATTTTCAGATATTTGAGAGAATATTTGAGAGAATTGATATTAATATTAATAATAGTTTTCAAATGTGCTTTGAGTAAAACCATCGGTATGAAAAAGATATGTTTGATAAAATATATATGTAAGAAGGGCTCAGAATACTGGAAAATGGTTTTAGAACAAGAACTGATGTTCTTGTTTCTACCTAAATTTGACTGTCTTTTAAACATGTAATATGTAAATATAAGAAACCCTTTTAAACGGTTGCGTCAGCATTCCTATTTCAATTTACCCTCTTCATAGGGATCTCTGATGACTCATTAGAAAATTCAGTTCTGACATGGAGATGTTTCATCATGCAGTAAAATTGTGCAAGCAAGGATATAACCGTTTCTTGGTTCTGAGTGTATGTGTTCTGCAGTCTTCTAGGAATTCTGCAGAACTTGTCCAAATTTGCAAGAAAACTTGCAGAATTTGGACCTCCTTCTCCAGAAGAGCTCCAGGGTTTCTGGGGCCTAAAATATACTTCAAAATCTATTATTCTAGCAAATTTACATGACATATTTTAAGGTGCAATATTTTAAATTCCTTTAGTGTTTTAGCATTAATTATGTCCACAAGATAGGAATATATCACATGGATGACAGAGTGTGTATAGTGAGTAATGAGAACACATCCTTCTTAGCTCAAGCAGGTTATGCTGCAGGTAGCCTTTATTTCAGTGTCATATTGAACTCCCCATAGAAGTCCCTGATTGGAAGAGTTAAGGTCACTGTCAGTATGGTGAGGCAGATGCTGCCACGCTCATGAGTTGGTCATAGCACTGCTTTTGGTGGTTGCCCCTCAAAGACATGTAATGTAAAAGCATTTTCACAGCTATTTCTGGCTTCTTTAATATATTAAAGTTATTTTATGTTTATGACAGTATTCTGTGTTTGTCAATAACATTTTGCATAAATAATGCCAATAAGAATTTTCATTCATTATTATATATATCAACTCTTCTCTATTTTTTTAATTTTAAAATCCTAAGAGGGGGCATAAAGCTGTTTAACAGACTGAAGTATTAATTGCAATACTCAAATCATAGCATACTAAACCCAACCTCCACATATTTGAAATTGAGAATAACACAAACCACAGTGCAGACCCCCTTCACAATTACATAAATTGATGTCCAGTAGGAATATGTTAAGTCAGACATAAGGAAGAATTCCTGATAATAAGAGTTTCTGAAATGTATTGCTGTCTATACAAAAAATCTGGAATTCTTTGTCTGCTAATGTCGATTAAGAATTGGTAGTAATTTCTGTCACATGGTAAAGGCTGACTTTTTTGTGGCCAAGAGTTGGACTTGCTTATCTCTTTAAACTTTGCCAACCCTGATTCTTATAACTGCTTAAGATGGATACCATCAGCCAAGAGCCAATCATAAGGGAACTTGGACAACTCTTCCTAAATGGGTCTGACTGAAGCTAAAAATATGATGTCTTATTTTTAAACACCAAGATCATGCTGCCTAAATTGTAAGAACTTGAAGTACCTTAGGGGCTAAACTGCCTGCAGTTCCCAGAGAAAAAGTTAATCTGTAGAAAATGCAAAGCACAAGCTAAAGAATTAATTTCTTTTTGCTATAGAAAAAAAAGTTGTGGCATTGAGATTAAAGTGTAAGTCAGGAATATGTTTTAAAAATACGTAGTGATTTGGTGTGTCTTTGATGATAGTGTACTCTGCAAGCTAATCACTAATACTGACACTGTGAAGAATGGCCCAAGTGTCAAATTGATGAACAAACTTTAAACTTTCATTGTGTGTGTGGCTATGTATGTGCATGTGCACATGCAGCATTATTATTGTTCTGTTGTTACTGTTTTAGTCCAAAGGGCAAAATTTATAAAAATTGTACTATCTTCGGAGAGAAACACTACTTTAAGATACCGGGTGATTTGAAATCGTTAAATTGAGCTTATATGAGCTCTGAATCAGAGCTTCTGGCAAGTACTAAAACCAGCTGTATCTGTGTAAAGTCCTTGGCAATGATAGACTAGTGGCTCTCAAGAATGGCTTCACAATATAATCACTCAGGAGCTTTCAAAAATTCTTATAGCCAAGCTGGGTGCGATGTCTCATGCCTGTAATTCCAACACTTTGGGAAGCCAAGGCAGGAGGACCACTTGAGGTTAGAAGTTCAAGACCAACCTGGCCAATATGGTGAAACCCTGTCTCTACTAAAAATACAAAAGCTTAGCCTGGCGTTGTGGCACGTGCCTATAGTCCCAGCTACTCAGGAGATTGAGACAGGAGAATCACTTGAACCCGGGAGGCACAGGTTGCAGTGAGCCGAGATCATGCCACTGCACTCCACCCTGGGCAACAGAGTGAGATTCCATCTCAAAAACAACAAACAAACAGACAAAAAAATTATTATATTCCCCTAAAAGTTAGAATATCTGGGGTTGGTACCCAGGTAGCAATATGTTTTTAAAGCTTTCTTAGGTAATTTCCATGTGTAGCCAATTTAAAAACCACTGATGTCAACAGCCAAACTTCTGGGTGAGTTACACATTGAATGAGACATATTTTCTCTGCCAAGGCTATACCTAAGTCCTGTTTCTGATGTAACAACTAAAAGCAGCTGGTTGGACACCAGTTGTCATTTGCCCTGTACCTTTTGTCATTTACTTAGCTTGTATATATTACTTATCCAACTTGAGTGAGGAATGGGGTTAACTCTGGCAGCATGTAAGATGCTTGATATAAAGCATACTAAACACCATTTGAAAAAAAAAGGTATTTAAAAATCTCAAGTTAATTCTAATTGAGAAATGGCTGTACCCATTAATTTTTTTCCATTTTTGTTCCATTTTGGAATCTGGTGCTTAGCTAGTTGGCAAAATTGCAATTGTTCCTGATCTTAAGATATGTGGATTGTGATTATATATGGTAAACCATTGTTACAAGTGACAAGACCACCAGAAGATACTCTAGTGTAATTTCTCCAAAGCGTTCCTGACTGCCAAGAATGTGAAAGTCAGTCTTGGCTTTGCATGTGTGTTAAAGGAAGGACATGCCTACACCTGTCACTTTACAGGGTGGCCCCTTAAGGAAACTAGCAAGCACCATTTTCTGCCACTTAGTTCTTGCAAGTGGCCAGAGGACGAAGAGGTTCACACCCTCAGCAGCCCTCCACTGGCGGCACACAGCAAACAAAGCTGAAAGGCTTGTCTATCATTGGAACAAGTGTCACTGGACTCCTGTCCCTCTCTATCTACTTGAATACTCATTTCAAAAGATGCTTTTAGAATCAGTCCTTTTACCAGGGGAGGAGAGAACGTGAGGCTGAAAGCTGCTGATTGTCCGGGTGACTGAGCCCATTGAGGTGGGGCTCTTGAGAGACAGCAGTCCGGGTGCCCAGGAGTCACAGGAGCATGTGCAGGAGGACGCAGAGTCCACCAGGGCAAGCCCTAATGGGGCAGCGTCTGTTTTCGGAGGCTTGTAAATCACACATGTAATTATGAGCATTGAAAGTTTAGTGAAATCTAAGTGCTATCAACCATGGAGGCTGATGTTCCATTTCTCTGAACTTTGTCAAACCTAACTTTTTACATTTTTTTCTTTTTGACTTGCAATCTTAAGGCAACCTATGAAGTGTTAGTGTCTTTTTGCTTGTGTGAAATGAGTCAAAGCAGATTGAGAAGGAGTTTATTTTTCAAAAATAGTACTGGTAACATAATGTGCATATACATTATACACACATACACATATGGTGATTATTAGACCATGTAACAAATGCTTCCCCAGAAAAATTGCTGAGAATTCTGCTTTTAAGCATGCATTAGGTTAGAATAAAGCCTGTGTTAATTGAACGAAAGCAACAAATTATATTTGTTAAATATTGCAATAGAAGAATCACCCTTGTGGAATATTTTTGAATACTAGATGGC